GAATTTCCTTTCTAGTTCTCACTATCCTTTTCCAGCCTTCAGAATCTCAGACTGGAGTTAAAATTCCTTTTCGTATTATTTTAATTATTGTTCTCCCCACCTCCACCCCTTTCCTGTTTCCCCCTCCTCTTTTCCCCTAACGGGACTGTTCTGCAAAGCCTGCAATGATTGATATGATGGCAGTGCTGTCATTCTTTTTAACCAAAAAAAAGTCATTTTTGTTCTAGTTATTTTAATAGAGTCCCATTAAAGATGTATTGCTGACTGAAATATCGGCATGAAGGGCTCTCACTGAGCTGAGCCCAGGAATTAAGAAGTCAGGAAATCGGCTGCTGCATTGCAAGAGAGCCTTGTGTGACACCGAGTCTCCTGATTGGGGAGATCATTACTGCTATTATGACTCGACTTGCGTAGGAATTTTAAATTCCATCTGAATGTCAGTAATAACCCTCTTAGCAAATTATCCTGAATAAAATCACGAAGGCATTTTATATAATAGGTGTTGAATTACTGGATAGATTTGCTAATTAAATACTCTTTGTTCTGCTGCAGTTGACATTACAGGGTAAGATCTTGAACAATTATTCTCAACAGCTGTACTTTGTTAAGGGAAAAATTAACCACAAAGTTTATTTTTTTACACTTGAAGTTGGCAGATTTTTGAAATGTGCTTGAAAAAATTCCATCATCCAATTGGTAATGAGTAGATAAATATGCAGGTGTTGCTGTGAAATCAGATAACTGCAGACTGCCTTATTAATGAATTTAGTAAGCCTTTATAGCCCTGTTTTCTAGCCGTTGGCACTTATAAAATGATTTTCTGTCAGAATGGGCAGCTTTAATATTAGACTTGTCACTTCAAAGTAAACTTATGAATGGTCATCTTGTAATCATTGTACCTTGTGTCTAGTAGACCTTTCTAGGTACTTGTGGTTATTTTTAAAAATGTGTTTCTTTAATGGGGAAAATACCTGTAATGTATAAGTTTTTGATTATTGGCTTCTAGAACATTGATGTGATTTGAATTTTTGAGTTTTTTTTTTTTTTTAAGAAGGTAGTGGGACATAATAAAAAGAAAATGAAACATAAAGTCCAACTTCTAGATCAAGCTCTTGGGCAAAATCTTAGAGCCTGATTTTTCTCATCTGTCAATTGGGACTTATAACATTGTGTACCCCCTAGGATTATTCACTTAGCATTCTATAAATATTTATTAACAGCTCCCATGTACCAGACTCTCTGTTAGATACTAAGAATTTGGTAGCTCCCTGGATATCCAACAGCTGAGCCCTACCCAGTGAGCAGTTTGAATTGAGGGCAGCTTTGGAGTGTTTCTGCTCATTAGCACTTGGATAAGCATTGGACTAGAGAGGGCACTGTGATACCCACCATCTAGAACTGCTTAGTGAAGAAGCATGAGAGGTTAGGGGTCAGACTGGCTCTGGGTTGTCTTGTATAGAATAGGCTGAAGAGTCGCCAAACTGTGGTGAGGACCTTGAACCTGAGACAGAACATTATCATTAGCTACTGGTGAGGTCCACAGAAATCGGTACAACCTCTGTAGAGAGCTATTGGGTATTATTTACTTTTAAAAATTTGAAACATACAACCTTTGACCCAGTATGTCTACTTGTAGTAATTTTTCGTGTTACTAGCAAATTTGCAAATTACACATGTATAGGGATTATTTATTGAAGTACAGTTCTCATGGTAAAGAGTAGAAATAACCCATATGTTCATTAATAGAGCACAAGTTAAATAAATTATGTTCTATTTATACAATGGAGTACAATGTAGTCATTAAAAAAGAATAAGGCAGCTCTTTATGTGTGGATTTTAAATAACCTCTAGGTTAAGTGCTAGGTGAAAAAAGCAGTTGCAGCTTAATCTATTTACCATTTCTGCAAAAAAGACATCCACCAAAAGATTTCTGCCACCAAAGAGAAAATCGTTTTGGTAGCAGTCCTCAGGTTATGCATGGAAATGGTTGTGAGTTGGTGGTGGGATGGAGTAGGGCTGGGTGATAGATCTGAAAGGTGAAGGTTGCCAGTTCACATTGAAAGTACATTCAGGGATGACATAGTAGGTTTGGTTCATGTTATGTAAGAAGAGTAGACGAAATTGGTTATTGAATATGTGGAGTTGTAGTAAAAGGTTGACAAACTGTTCCTGAGGTTTACTGAGGTAACAGTTACGTTATGGTGTTGTCTGTTGTGATGAGGAAAGCTAAACCTCGCTAGGTGGAAGAGGCAGAGAGTAAAGAGGACACTTGATAAGTAGTTCTGTCCTCACTATGATTAATTTGCCTTGGATTGATCTCATTATTGCCCTTTCCCTAAAGGAATTGTCAAGTATTCTCCCACAATGTATTTCCCTGTAATTTAAATGTTAAAAAATGAAGATGAAGTTGGGTAGAGTGAATGTGTTTTATAAGTTAGCTGAATTTTAGTGTCTAGTGGAAAAGTAACTGGGATTACTACAGAACCTATCAGTCACCTGGCAGACAGTTTTTTGAGTGCCTGTTATATGTGAAGTCTGTAGTTAGGCACAAACATATGGTCTGACCTCCAGGAGCTTCTAGTCTAGTTTGGGGTGGGTAGGTGGGAGCTAATAACATAAAGGATCATTCAAGTACTAGTAGAATAATGCAAACACGGATGAGAGGAGAGAGACAGGTATGGGCTGGGCCAGTCAACTCATGCAAGAAGGATTGTAAAATTCATTGATAGGAAGAGGACTGGGGAAGGAATTCCAGGTAGGGGGCACACTGCGTGAGTGTAGGCATGAAAAAATGAGTCTGTACACAGTTAACTGTTGGAAGACTGGGGAGATTTATTCTGTCCTCCAGCAACAGGATCTATATAAAAGAATAATAGGCCAGACAAGTGGAATAGTGGTTTAGGTGCAGTTGCAGAATTTGGTCTTGATCTTGTAGGCATCCAAGAGGCATTGAAAACATTTAAGAGATTGGTAATGATATTCAGGGTGAATTAATGAGACCTAAAGCCAGTAGAGATGTGAGCTGGTTCATTCTCAGTGACAACCGCATTGCCATGGAGTCAGGCACTTTCCACCTTGCAGCTGGCCCTGTTCAGCATGTTAGCTTGCACCCTAGGCATGGCCCTTCATGGCCACAGTGGTAGTTGCTGCTGCTCCAAGCAGCCCTCAGTCTAAAAAGGTAGTCCCCCCGCCCCCTCAAATCAGGAAGGAAAACCTTTCACAGAAGCATTCTACAGGAATTCTTACTTTTAATAGGCCGGGATTCTGTTCACATGCACATGCCTAAACTGATCACTGCTTCCAGAATGGAATTATCATGATTATCTTAGTCCAGTGGTCCTTAACCTAGCTTGCAATGTAAGAAAACTGTTGGGGCCAGGTATTGGTTGCTGTTGTAAATTTTTTTAAAAAAGATCCTCAAATAATTCCACTGTACAGTCAGTATTAAAACCACTGGTTTAGCCTAATCAGAATTGAATTCACCACCACCCACCACCCCCAGGGCAGGAGAAAGGGCTTCCTTGTCTAAGAACATAATATTAATACAATGAACATCTGAACAAAATTGGGAGATAGTAATAAAGGGGAGAGGGCAATAAAAAATACAAAGTAATGGGTAGATATAAGATAAAGACAGGATTTACAAAGCTCTGTAATAGGGAAAATAAGAAAAAAATGACACCATGAAGCTTGAGCTTAGTTGACAAGGTGGACTACTGAAGTAGGAAAAAGAAGTATAAATGAAGTAAATCTTTATCTGATTTATTAGAAAAGTGACCTCAGCTTTAGGCTGATGCTTTGAAAGATAGGTGATAGCAGAGAGGCAATAGCATGGAGTGACTAAGGCCCGATACTCTGGAGTCAGAATGCCTGAGTTCATATCCTTGTTTTGTCTTTACTAGGACACTAATTTCTCTGTCTTTTGGAATCTAATGAAAGAGGATATTAACAGTAGCTACCTCTTGGAGATCTAGGGGAATGAAATGAGAAAATTCACAAGGTGTTTCTTGCACAGCATCTAGCACATGTATTTTAAACTCTCTCTCTCTCTCTCTCTGAGTCCTAATTATGTCATATTACTATTTTTTCAGAGGTTGTATTTTGTTAAATATGTGTTACTTCTTATCTGGCACAAAATAATTTATATCAGTTTTTATTTCTATCCACGCTGTAACCTGAATATCTCTGATATGTAGCTATGTGGGCCTGGGGACAGACCCATCTACGGATATTATCCATGTTTGTCTTCATTCACTGAATGTTTCTTGAGCCCCACCTTTTTACTGGGTACTGTGGTAGCTCTAGGCAATATAGTCTACTCTGTCTTCAATGAATTTAGTCTAGAGAAGAATTTTAAATGTGCTTTTTTTTTTTTTTAACTTTTTAAGATCCTGAATACCATGAGTAAGAGTTGCCAGATTTGAAATGCTTTGTTAAGCTTTTTTTAGGCATGCAGCTCTATTTAAGTATTAGTAATGAGAATAGTTTGCTTTTTTGCCATGTTATAGTGATATTTTATTGTGTGTTTATTAAAGATATATGTTTGTATATATGCATCCATATCTCTGGCTAAGAATCAGCATAGAGGCACACTTATTTTTAGATTATATTGATGTTACTTTTTTTTAAGGGCTGTTGTTAGAAGACCTTCAAGAGCTTTAGAAATACATGGAAATGGCAAATCATTGAGTGTTATCTATCTCTATGTGCTTCTATTTATGTCTTTATAATTGTGTAATGTATTAATCTTGACTTTTGTTTCATTTAGATTTTGATGCATACAAAAGAGATGGTACAAAAGGTAATGTCGAGCATTTTCATTGTATAAAACTCTTAAATATCGTAACTGGCAATGTTTTTGTATTCAAGGAATATTGTAACCCAAACAGACTGGAAATTGCTTCTTAGGTTGCCTAGTTTACATTTATAATCCCTCCTAATGGATTACAGCTTTTTTCTTTTACCAACACTGATATGATCTAGCCCCTGCTTGAAGCCTATATGTGAGTGTTTCAAGCAAATTAGTAACAGTGCTAATTAGAGTTTATTTCCAGGCCTTTATACTGTATGTGCTCTAGTGTTGTTTGTTATGATTGATTTTTTTTGGCACTCTTCATATTCTACTAAATACTGTTTGCAACTGTATTAAGAATTTAATATGGATTTGTGCCTCTGAATTTATAGAATCCATTATGTTTCTGCTTCTTGAATTGCCATGACCACTAAGCATGTTGTACGGTGGATAAATATAGACCCCCGTATCCTAGTCTTTTATTCTCCTTTTTCTTATCATTTAATTTGGTATTTTGTTTCAGCTGAAACTAGACACATTTCCCCTTCCACTCTACTCTCTGTTTTAAGAAAATTTGAGAGATATTCTTGATGTCAGGGTGCTTGCCTTTCTGGTTTATAGGGGCTTAATCGTCAATTGTATACCCTGATAATATGAATAATAATTAACATAAACGTTTGAAAAGTTTGGAGCCTGTAATTTCTATAGTATGGAAAATCTTTAGTTTCATTGTATGTAATGGTCACTGTGTTTTTGTTGTTAATTTTTATAATTTTTGCTTTTCATTAGATGAATCTTGAAGTTATTTATGGAGATACAGATTCCATTATGATAAACACGAATAGCACCAATCTGGAAGAAGTATTTAAGTTGGGAAACAAGGTGAGAAAATTTTATGAATTTTCTGCTTTACCTACTTTTGTGAATTCTGTTTTTAACATGGAACACTATAAATTCATGAATGTGCATGTATATGCTTCTGAAAATAATAAACTTGGTGTCTCTCAATTCTTCAGTCTCTCTTATTTTTCTTTCTTTCTTTATTATTTTTTTTCTGAGATAGAGTCTCACTCTGTTACCTAGGCTGGAGTGCAGTGGTGCGATCAGGGCTCACTGTAGCCTTGACCTCCTGGGCTCAAGTGATCCTCCTGCCTCAGCCTCCCAAGTAGCTGGGACCACAGGCACTCGCCACCATGCCCAGCTAATTAAAACAATTTTTTTTTGCAGTGATGTGTTCTCACCATGTTGCCCAGGCTGGTTTTGAACTCCTAGGCTCAAGTAATCCTCCTGCCTTGGCCTCCCAAAGTTCTGGGATTATGGGCATGAGCCACCACGCCCAACCCTCTTGTTTTTAATTTCTGTTCCAGCTGTTTGTTTGGAGGGTGAAATTCAAAGGTAATTTTTTTCTTTAAATGGTAGATAAACGTTTTTCCTTTGAAAACAGTCTGTTACGTATGTTTAAGATGTATTCACATTAGTACTTCCTACATTGTGATTCATATGTCTGGTAGGATTCAGATGCATTTTATATGTAAGTACCTACATACATCCATATACACTCACAACTGTAATTTTTACAGGTGTACTTAAAATATATTTGAAAAGACAAGGGGGCATTTTAAAATAATCATTTGTAGCTTCTTAGTAGCAATTCACAATAACAATTCGCAGTTTTAGAAACACTTGCTATGTTAAGATATTGTCCCAGTGAACTAAAACAGAGATATCATCTTGGAAACTAACAACTTTCTATGGAAATATGTGGAATTTGAATGGTAGTCTTCACCTGACAGCAAGCCTGGCATATTGTACTCATCATACTGGGCCTTGAAAAGTTGTATATTTTCCCTGGAGGCGATGGCCTGTAGGGGACTATTTATTTGCTCAGCATGTAGTTGTTTGCCTATAGTCAAGGTGTTAATGGAGGTCTTAGACATTATTTTTATAATCAAAGTTTTACTTCTTTATTTCTGGCCACATATTTACTTGTTGGACTGTATTCGCTAACTGAATAGTTCAAAGGCAAGTACTGTACATATGTATTAAGTCTTTACATTCAACAAGGACTGTTCCATAATTTTCATATATTACCTGTGGCTGATGCATGCAGTCCTGTCCTTTAGTTGCATGGGATGATATATTATTGATATATTGATATAATGATATGATTATTGTCTCTCTCTTTTTTTAAATCTATTTTTGTTCCTGCATTTTTCAATGTCTTTGTTTTATACCCAATGTAATATCATGTTACATATAAGCCGAGTAAAATTGCAATATTGTATGACTTCATGTTGTTTAGATTAACTCTTGGGAATTTGTAACATGTTTATCTTCTCCTTGTTAGATGTTTGAGAAGCTAATATTAATATTTGAAATTTTCACAGGTAAAAAGTGAAGTGAATAAGTTGTATAAACTACTTGAAATAGACATTGATGGGATTTTCAAGTCTCTGCTACTGCTGAAAAAAAAAAAATATGCTGCTCTGGTTGTTGAGCCAACATCGGACGGGAATTATATCACCAAACAGGAGCTCAAAGGATTAGATATAGTTAGAAGAGATTGGTGTGATCTTGCTAAAGACACTGGAAAGTGAGTTCAGCTTTCAGTTTTGCTGTTCTTGTTTGTCTTGTAAAAATTCAGGTGTGAATGATGTAGAGAATGCTCATGAATCTGCCAAGCACAAGAACACAACTTCTTTGTTATTTTTATTATTATCAACCTTACTAAGAATTATTAATAATTCTTATTTGGAATGGAATTTTATAGGTAGATTAAAACTTAGAAAAAGCCAAATTCGCTCAGTAAGAAATGCTTGCTATAAGATACATCTCATGAGTTTTTAACTCTTGGTAAGGGTAAACCTTCACACTTCAGATCCTTAGAGTTGATTTCGTTGATGTTCATTTGTTTTGCTTTAATGTCGCTATTAGAAAGTGCCTTGTTTTGTGCTCCTGAATCTTGCTACATCTTCTTTAGGAACATAATTGTTAAGATTTTCTCATTTTATGGCTTAAAATGTTCTGGGATTCAAAGTGGGCCATGGAGTGAGACTTTGTTCCCACCCATATGATTTGTATATAAAAGATTATTAATAATACCAGGTTAATTTAAGGGCTAGTTCTCAAATCCTATGTGTACCTCAGAATTAGTAAATGTCATGACTGACCTCCTAGCTTTGCACCTGAGACTGAAGAATGTGATAATAAGACCTGCTTTTTAAAGGATCATATTAATGTGCAAAGCACTCATTTAAAAATGAAGTTTTAGACTGGGCGTGGTGGTGGCTCATGCCTGTAATCCCAGCACTTTGGGAGGCTGAAGCAGGCGGATCACTTGAAGTCAGGAGTTTGCGACCAGCCTGGCCAACATGGTGAAACGCTGTCTCTACTAAAAATACAAAAATTAGCTGGATGTGGTGGCACATGCCTGTAATCCCAGCTACTGGGGCAGCTGAGGCAGGAGAATCACTTGAACCTGGGAGGTGGAGGTTGTATTGAGCCAAGATTGCACCTTTCCACTCCAGCCTGGGTGAAGCAGCAAGACTCCGTCTGAAAAAAAAAAAAAATGAATTTTTAGGTGCTTTGTGTACCATCTTTCATATACTCCTATTTTGTGACCATGACTAATTCTGAAAGTAGAAGAATGTTTTTCTTTAAAGCTAAATTTCCAAATCAGTTTTAATATTCTGAATATCAGCATTTAAAAACTTGTTTTCCAATCTTCCTCTTGCTGTCAAGTTGGGAGATTAGCAGTTATTGCTGCTGCATAACTACTCTTGATTAGGCAGAGTTGACCATCTGAGTATAGTCCACTGTGAGCCTTTTATGAAATGTAGCTTGAAATGCTTCATTGCCCCCAAATGTACCCAAAGAAAAAAGTACTTTGTATAGACTGTGGATTAGCGTCTTCTCTTCAGCTTTTGTGTTTTCTAAGAAAAGATGCATCATAATAGAAGTAAATTTCTCTGCGTTAGAAATGTATTAGTAATTAAAGCTATACAAATGTTTTTGTCAGGGTTCTTTTTCTGACAAATTATAATGCAGCTGTCAAACCCTCGCTCTGCATTTTCTCAGAAATGGATAAAATATTGGCTTTCTTACTCCTTTCCTTTTACTTTTGCCTTTGGGTTTGGTTTTTAAGGGATAGCATAAGGGAAATAACTGAGCAATAAAATGAAGGTGAAGAAAGAAAAGTTTGAAATCTTTGTTTTTTAAAAAAAAATTTATGTAAAGGGCTTCATATTTCTACTCACCTAGCTCATGGTTGCTCATCCCAGGTGGAGATGATGTCTAGATATCAGAGATAATGTCTTGGTTCTTTGTGAGGAAAGTGAAATATTTGTCTTCTAAAATTTTAACTTATGGGTAGAATATAACTGTGCATTTTGTAATTGCATAAAAGTGTAAACATAAAAATGGAACGCATACTTCATCACATTTTATATAAAATATTAGCTGCCACATAAAAATGATCTGTATGTTTAGGGTCAAACTTGACATTACAAGGCTGGCAAACTTTCAGTAGAGTTGGTGTTAAAAAGCAAATAGTAACTCCCTTTTTGACATTAACCCTCATATTAGCTCTTAGTGTAGCTCTTGGCCATGTGTTAATCTAATGGCATTTCTCTTCCTTTCTTATTCTTTACTAGTAAAATATGATATTAAAAAATCAACTGCTGTCTTTTTTTTTTCAGGTTTGTGATTGGCCAGATCCTTTCTGATCAAAGCCGCGACACTATAGTAGAAAACATTCAGAAGAGGCTAATAGAAATTGGAGAGAATGTGCTAAATGGCAGTGTCCCAGTGAGCCAGTTTGAAATTAACAAGGTAAATGTGGCATTTATTGTTGAGCCCAGCTGCTGTCGTGTGTTTTTCTCCTCCTTCAGATAGTTGAAGAACCACCTCATCCTTGCAATTGAAATAAATTCTAGCTGGTGTTGAAAGCTGCTTAACAACTATGTCACAGATTGAGCACTAGCATACCTCTTCCAGCCACAGGTACAGCCATGTCTCCCAGAAACCTTCTGTCTCTAGTCCTTACTTTAATTCTTGGAAGACTCATTTTCAGAGGCCCTATGGAGTGATATAGTTTACTTATTGGGGACTGGAGAACACTACCTTCTTCAGTCCCTTAAGTAATAGTTGTTTGGGGTGTAGGCCTGTAGGCTTATTGTGTGCATTCATGTGTTTGTTTAACTTCACAGATGGTGATCCTTAGAGGTGCTGTACTCGGAAGGCTTTTGGGGACCTAAGTTATTTAGAAACAGTCTTAGTTGTTGAAAATAGGGAAATATTTTTTCTTACCTAATTTGAAAAACAAAATCTTGGTTTCCAAAGCGCTGTGTAATAAACGAAATGTTAGTTTTTTTTTTTTTCTATTTAAAAGGAGTACCTTTATATATTCAGAAGCTAATTTTGCAAATACCACACTACCCATTTTGTGGTAGATTTCATTGTCAAAGTGCATACAAAAATTAATGAAAAAGAATCTGATGCTGACACTAAATGGAAGTTTTAGAATGAAGACTCATTCATAATACTCTGCGCTCACGTAATGCCTGTCATTTTTGCACATTTCTGTACTCTTGAAAACATTTTTATATTGCAGCAATTACAATAAGTTATTTAGAAATATATTTTCATTTAACATTTTCCTACATTTTTAGATTGCCTTAAAAATCATCAAATTAGTGTATGAATCTTCTGTTTCATGGATACTTCTTTAAATTTGTTGATTATTAAATATTTTCTATTATAAATTACTATTGAACATCTTTATTTATTTATGTTTTTGCATTTGGATGAATTACTTTATTACTTTAGGTTCCTTGAAGGAAAATATTTGAGTCCAAAGATGTGAATATCTGTATGGCTTTTTCCACATTGCTTTGTGAAAGGATAATACCAATTGATAATAGCAAAATATGCCAGTTTCACCACAGTTTTACATGTAGTGGTGATGATATTTAAATAAACCTTTGCTACCGTCATGAACATGAAACTGTATTTCATGATCGCATTGAATTTTCATTTCTTTCGTTCCTAGAAATGTTTTCTTACAGTTTATGTTTATTCTTAGGTAAGTTGTTTCCTGTACCTTGACTATGGCATCCTTAATATCACAAAAGAAGACATTGGTTTGTACATTAGAAGGGGACAGTGTTTCTTGGCACTGGCTCTCCACTTTAAGTGATGAAGTTTATACATATTGACATAGAATCACTGTGTCATCTGGAAAGTAGTTTTCTTTTAAAGATTTTGTTTAATTTCTTTCTCAAAAATTTATATGAGTAAGAGTTATGACTTAAGTCTTCTTTTGGCCAGTTTTTACATCAGTTCTGCATATTGTATCCTTGATCCTGTCTACCATTCTAGAAACTTGGGTTTCTATCACAAGGGCTTCCAGGGACGAGTTTGGGAGTCTCAGTCCCAGCATGGCTACGTAATTGGCAAAGTAACACTGAGCACATTTCTTTTAGGATAGTGGACCCACACTATGATCCCCTCATATGAATGATGACACAGTATTACCAGTGTGCAGAAAGAAAGTTAGAGTCACAGATATACTGACAGTGTGTGGGTTCTAATGAATAGTCTGCATTCTTTCAAGTTTTTATTATTGAAATTTCTAGAGTTCTGTAAAAGTAGAGAGGATGGTATCATGAATCCCTATGTATCCATCACTCAGCTTCAATAATTATCAACTTATAGTGACATGTTATTATTACCAATAGCAATAGTAATTAATACTTAGTGTCTAGTATGATAGAGGCTGTGAATAGATGTTTCTGTGGCAAAACTGAAAATGTGACTTACTGCTTCTATATTCTCCATATCACTTAGCATAGCTGGTGGCAAATAGTAGTTGTTCATTAAGCATTGAAAGAATTCATTTGCTTGTTTAATCATCCATTCAGCAAACATGGAGTACCTCTTATGTACACAATGCTGATTCTGGGATATAAAGTTGAATAAGGAATGCATGGTCCATATTTTCAAGATGCTAGTGGTCTATTAAAAGTATTTACTCTTGGCCGGGTACGGTGGCTCACAACTGTAGTCCCAGCACTTTGGGAGGCCAAGGTGGGCAGATTATGAGGTTAGGAGTTCAAGATCAGCCTGACCAACATAGTGAAACCCTGTCTCTACTAAAAAAATACAAAAATTAGCTGGGCATGGTGGCACGTGCCTGTAATGCCAGCTCCTCAGGAGGCTGAGGCAGGAGAATCACTTGAACCCAGGAGGTGGAGGTTGCAGTGAGCTGAGATCACAGCACTGTACTCCAGCCTAGGCGACAGAATGAGACTCCATCTCAAAAAAAAAAAGGTATTTACGGTCTGTTGAGAAACATTAAGTTTACCCTGCCGCCATGGCTCCTTTGTGGAGGATACCTTTTAGTTTGTAATTAGCGGTAGGCTAATATACTTGGTATATTCTTGGTACCTACTTGGTATATTCTTGAGTTATGTGTATATGTAGAACACCTGTGTATTAATAAGAATTACCCGTCAAAGAGCAAATAAATATGTGGATGAGAATCTGCTCAGGGCCTTCAGCCTGGAAATGCTGTCAGCCTGTCAGCTCTCAGGCTGTTGGTCCCCTGATAGATCCACTCTGTTGTTCTGTCTGGGTATCTTCCACTCAATACCTTCAGCCCACCTGGGTGGGGGTCTCCCAGCCGAGCTGGTTGTCGGTAACTGTTCTATATTCTTTCTTTTATTTAGTAGAGAAGAATTTCTGCAGTGTGATGTAAGTACAGTAAATTCTATTGAAAGGGCTATCTTTATTATAGTTATAGTTCTGTATCTATTTACAGTAAGCTATTCATGTGTTAAAGGTGATGTATCCTGATAATCTTTAACATTTGTCTAAACACTTGCACTATTTAAAACTTGTGAGCAGTTCAGTTTCTACATTTTATTGCTTCCAAAAGAGAGTGGACTGGCAGAGTCTGTGTATGTGACTGCTTATGCATGGTCTCATGATGAGATTTTTTTTTTCACTTTTTGTGTTTGATTTTTTTTTTTTAGGTGATGCTGGTAGGACTTGAAAATGACAGGTTAGATTAGGGTGGAGACATGCATGAAGTGATGGGATTTACCTTTAGAGATTTTAGCCCTTGTTGCCAAAAGCAACTGAAAAACAGCATGTGTGATTTTGCTGAACTACTGCAATCTTAGCTTAAATATATTTCACAAAGTAACACAAAATACTTCACAGCTGATTTTTATAGCTCTGGCTAACTTGAGCCTAAACCACCAGGAAGCATTTTTTTTTAAATGAAGCCTTCTAAAACTAGCTTGTAAAGTCCCCAAATAGCCTCCATCTAATAATTAGAAAGTATGTCAGCTGAAATTTAGAATTTCTTAACATTGCACTGAAGAATAATCCATTGAAGAAGATAACAGATTCCTTAAGTGCCATTAAATCAGTAAAGATTTCTATACTGTATTGCTTGTCCAAGTCAATCAGAACTTCACATATTCCAAGTTTGAGGAGATTCAAATACTTGGGAGAGTTTCTTAGGTACTTTCCTACAATGAGTATAGAATTTAGTAAGTTTATGTAACTTAGGCATGTGCAGCCATGTTTGAGGACCTATTTTATTCTTCTATATCAGTTATCAGATTTCTTGGTCTTAGGACACCTTTATGTTCTTAAGATAATTGAAGATCCCGGCTGGGCATGGTGGCTCACGCCTGTAATCCAAACACTTTGGAGGCCAAGGCGGGTGGATCACCTGAGGTCGGGAGTTCAAGACCAGCCTGACCAACATGGTGAAGCCCCATCTTAAAAAATAATAATAATAATTGAAGACCTCAAGAGCTCTTGTTGATGTAGTTTATCTTGATATTTAGTATGTTTGAAATTTAAAAGCATTTGTTAATTTATTTAAAAATAGCATTAAGCTCTTTATATAATTATAAAAAATACCATTTCTTTCTATGAAAAAATATATTTTAAAACAAAGAAAAACTTAGCATGAGGAGTGGTATCATTTTACAATTTTGCACATCTCTTTAATGTCTATCTCAGTAGAAGACATCTGGGTTTTCATTTCTGCTTCTGCATACAATCTGTTGTGATAAGTGGTTTTGGATGAAGTATAGGAAGAATTTCAGTTTAACCCAAACATGTAGTTAGAAAAAGGAGAAGTAGTTTAGTAATTTTTTCTCATAGTTGTAGGTATTCTTCTTTGATGCTACACCAGAACTCTGCAGATGATATTTTCTTAAACTTTGTTTGTAATGTGGAATCTGAAACTGTATCAATGAACTTTTTGTGCTCTCTTATATTAAAATCTATTGGTCTGTGTTGTACTTTGAAAGAGTATTTAACCCATTTGTGGCATGAATTGACCATTTGTTAAATGTTGCTTCCCTGAATTATACAGATCCTCCAAAATAGACACATTCGATGTCCACTATCAAAAATTATATTTAAAAATATTCCTACTTATGTTGGAAAAATCTTTAAGCATTGGGAAGCTGTCAGGCTCACAGAAGTAGAAACAAGTTTCCTAAAATTCTAATTTGCACTTGAAAGCTTGAGTTTTATCTTTGACAGGTTTTTTTTTGCCTTGAAGTGCCAGGCTCACTTCTTTTTTGAGAAATTTTCTGCCAGATACCCAAGTCAGAATAACAGTAGTTTGCCTGTAATTCTTCCAAGTAAAAATTATATTCTGTGAAAAAGACAGCTAGTTTAGCTTGCAACTCAAACAGTTGCACAAATGCTTTTCCTTAAGCAATCTTTGTTTTTCAGATATGCCTCATGTGTACTTTCTGTTTTATCACACAAAATAGTAGACTTGTACTCAAAGGTTGAGAGCTTTTTTTTTTCTTTTTCTTTTTTATTTTACTTTAAGTTCTTGGATACATGTGTTGAATGTACAGGTTTGTTACATACGTATACATGTGCCGTGATGGTTTGCTGCACCTATCAATCCATCATCTAGGTTTTAAGCCCTGTATACATTAGATGTTTGTCCTAATGCTCTCCCTCCCCTTTCCTTCGACCCCCTAAGAGGCCCCAGTGTGTGATGTTTCCCTCCCTGTGTCCATGTGTTTTCATTGTCGACTCCCATTTATGAGTGGAACATGTGATATTTGGTTTTCTGTTCCTGTGTTAGTTTGCTGAGGATGTCCAGTTTCATCCATGTCCCTTCAAAGGACATGAACTCACTCCTTTTTATGGCTGCTTAGTATTCCATGGCGTATACGTGCTACATTTTCTTTCTCCAGTCTATTATTGATGGGCATTTGGTTTGGTTCCAAGTCTTTGCTATTGAGAGCTTTAAAAATTATTCTTACTACTTTGTCAAGGACATTCTTAAGTGAAAGTATATTTTTAACTATGCATGGTGGTGAAGAATACAGTGACTCTTAGTACAGTTTGGTGTTACCGTCCTGATTCATGTTTATAAGGCACCAGCATTTTTGCCCACCATTGCTCCTGTATCATCAGTACAGATAGTATTGTTATGAAAATAGTTTTGATTTTAGGACTCCATGGAAGGATATCAGGAACCCCAGGGCTCTGCAGTCCACACTTTGAGAACAGGTGAGCTCATCAAGCAGTACCTTGATCCCCATTCTTTCTCTGTCTTTTGAAACCCACCGCTTCCAGGGTTAGGTATCCCCCTCCTTTTCTTTATGCATATTGAGCTCCATTCTAATAGAATGCATTTTTTTCCCTCACCCTTTGCCTTTTTGTTTGTTTCTCTGCCTAGACTATTTTTGTCTCTGTTACCTTTTCTTAAAATCTTGTTTTTCCTTCTAGTGCCAGCTTAAGTTTTTTTCTTCCATGATTTCTGCTTTCAGGTGGAAATCATTCTTACCTTTCTAAGTTCTCTTCACACTTCATTCACATCTCCTTTATAGCACATATAGCTTATTTTAGAGGGTTTTTTTTGGAGGGGAGGTGGAGGGTAGAGTCTTCCACTAAAAGCAGATGACTGTGTCTTGTTCATCCTGTGGTACTTTATAATACTTGAACAGATTATTCTGTGAATTATTACAGATGGAGTGAAATAATTTTTTCAGCAAATATTTGGCTGCTACTGTACATCAAGCATCATTAGAAACACTGTGCATACAGTTGTGAGCAAGGCTGACATTGTTCCTGTTCTCGTGGTACTTACTTTCTGTTACAAACGCATTCTACCTTTGTAGATGTTAATTGACAGCATGAGTAAATTCAGTGATTTCTAGTGCCTTTGGGATTTATTTAGGCCAGAGGAGCCTTTGAGAAACAATCATTAAGTCAGAGTAGCTGTTATTCATCAGTCCCAACTAATCAGTTAACTCGGTGAGAGAATTGCAAACATTAAGGCTGCATATAACACTGAATTTATAGTCTTAACTTTCTATATCCAAGTATCATGTGACATGGCCTGTTAACTTACATTTCTTTTTTGTTGGGGTTGCATCTGGTTATGTTAGTTTTTGAACAAAGGAGAGAGGAGCCTTGAAGATGGGATGTTTAAAGATTCTGTAGCAGTATTTTCTACATACAGCTTCTGTCATTTTTTGTATTTATGTGACTAGTATGATTCTAGCAAAGATGTTTTTAGTGTATATCTGTGTGAGAAGGGTTTTATTTTAAGGCTTTGGACTTTTTTGTTCCCTCTTTTAGGCATTGACAAAGGATCCCCAGGATTACCCTGATAAAAAAAGCCTACCTCATGTACATGTTGCCCTCTGGATAAATTCTCAAGGAGGCAGAAAGGTGAAAGCTGGAGATACTGTGTCATATGTCATCTGTCAGGTAAACTATTGACATTCATAAGACTCTGATACCTCTTAAGAACTGGAAGTAAAATCCAGATTGCCAGTGTCTTATTTAGTATTCTTCCCAATAATTAACTTTGTGAAGTCTGGTTGCTTTTATAGCATTTAAAAAACATTAGTTAGAGGTGTAGCATATGTCATTAGGATTTTCATAAAACGTTTATGACAAGTTTATAGCAGTAGCTAGTCTTTTAACCCTAAATTAACTTTAATGCAAATGTAAGTTTCATCAGATGTTCAGCAGTAGTCCTCCTTTATCATTCCTTTTGCAACAGTTCCCATTATAGATATCAGTGAAATAATAAAAGAATAAACATCATTTTCCTAGCAAATGTCCAAATAATTATGTTAAAAAATATGGAGTACATGATTATATGGAGAAGTTGAGAGATTCTATAAACATACCCTATGAGGAAAATACACAGTTCAACCAGTTTTTTTTTTTTTTTTTTTTTCCTTCCTTCGAGTGGAGAAGGCCCACCTCCTTACCCTTCTCCCTGTTTCACAAGGCACCTCTAGGCCTTCTGGAACAGTTTTAAACCACTACCAGTTCTTTTGATAATAGCATGCCTATAATGGATGAGGAGAGAGAGTAAGAGAGAAGAGTAGGTTTTTGACTTTCGAAGCCCTTAACTCCAGTTTTAACAAAGGAGAGGTCTCATTCCTTCTCTCTGTAAAAATAACTCAGGGTCATAGCATTTATCCAAATTCTTTCATATTACTATGGTATACACTACTTAACACAAGGTATAATTTATCTAAGACTGTTTTTTAAAAAAATTAAGAATTTTATCCTAATTGTTATTGCATTATGTTGTTAGAGTAAAATTTTTTACATAAATCTAAAAATTAGTTGCAATATGATTGATATTTGTCAAACCACAGTCAGTATGTTTTTAAATCAGAGTCTTTTGAAAATTTAAAAGTAGTCTGCTGATATCTGCTATATGCCGTGGATGATGTACATAACAAATGATTTAAGTACATGGACAGGAATCAGCACTTGACTCTGTCTCCCCCCTAGGGTTACCCTTGATTAAGAACTGTTACAGAAAGCCAATTCCTGCAGGAAAATATTTCCATAAATGTCTGACTTGCTCAAGCCCTTAATGTGCTTTGCATATTGCCTCTGACAAGTCTCATCTCAAAAAAACAATTTTCATATTATGCAAATAAAGATTTTGGTAAATAGGCTAGGTTTTTTTTTTCCACTTACGTCTTCACATACGTGGAAAAGCTCTTAGATTGGTAATGACAAGAACAGATGGCAGCATACAACTTTGAAAAATTATATAGGTTCAGTGAAATAGCATCTAATAATGAAATCAAGCCACAATTATGTTTTGGCTAAACCTGCAATGAAAATGTATGGTAACTTATAAAATAGGATGATCATTGTATTGAAAAGTCATTTTTGTGTTCCTTGATGTCTGAATGTTAGGTCTTAAGGTTTCTTTTTCTCAGGTCTTATTAATATACATAGGCTCAAAATGCTATTGCTAATGTAGTACAGTACATCCAATTTTATGTATTTTTAGCATTTTCCATCCACTGGTTTGGGTCTTATTTGCTTTTTAAAAGTATGATTCATTCTTGTTTTTATTAGCTTATTCTCCTTAACATATCCCAAGAAAACCTACAGGACTTCCATTTGCCTTTGTACCCTACCCATGGGACATGCCCCCTTTCAACCTGTTTGCTAGCCAAATCTACCTACCTTTTTTGCTTTTAAGCACTCAGATTATTCTGTGTTTCATAACACAACCGTAGTTTTAGAATATGCTTTTGAAAATGAATCATGACACTTTTTTTTTTTTTTTTTTTGAGACGGAGTCTCGCCGTGTTGCCCAGGTTGGAGTGCAGTGGTGCCAGCTCAGCTCACTTCAACCTCCGCCTCCTGGGTTCAAGTGATTCTCCTGCCTCAGCCTCCCAAGTAGCTGGGATTACAGGCACACGCCACCATACCTGGCCAATATTTTTGTATTTTTAGTAGAAATGGGGTTTCACCATGTTGACCAGTCTGGTCTCAAACTCCTGACCTCAGGTGATCCTCCTGCCTCAGTCTACCAAAGTGCTGGGGCTGGGATTACAGGCGTGAGCCACTGTGCCCGGCCCATTATGACACATTTTTAAGAGGACTGTTTGCTGCCTTAAGCAAGGGTGTCCTCCAAGAATAGCCTATATCCTAAACAGGTTTTGTTTTGTTTAAAATTTACATTTAGGAAATAGTGCCCTGTTCAGATTACAAATTCAGATGAGTTCAGAGAGTAATGTTTTTGGAATCTAATTTATATTGTAGGTTGTTATCGTGTTAAACCTATGTAAATTATTTGCTCAGATCTTAAATCAACTTCCATTTGTTGGCTAAGTTTTAAATCCTTAACTATTTAACTTTCATTAGACTTAATTTCCAGAAGACAAGACCTTAGCATAATTGTTTTAAGGGGCCCACTTGTCTCCAGTTCAAAATTTTTTCCCATTAGTTTCTTACTAATGATGACTACCTAGTTTTGTATGAATCGACTGCACCTGGCTTTCTCTCTGAATTATGCACTTTGTGAAGTTCACAAATTACTACATGGGCACTTGAAGAAGATCAGCATTGCTTCTTAATCTGTTCTTAAAAGTGTATGCCACGCATTCTTGTATATACCATGGGGCCTGCTCAGATTTTAGAATGAAGTCTTTGAAGGTTTTTTTTTTTTTAATTTTGAGACAGGGTCTTGCTCTGTCACTCAGGCCAGAGTACAGTGGCATGACCACAGCTCAATGCAGCTTCTATATTCTAGGCTCAAGCAATTCTCCACCCTAGCCTCCTGAGTAGCTAGGACCACAGATGCACACCTCCACGCCCAGCTAACTTTTTTTTTTTTTTTTTTTAAGAGATGGGGGGGTGGTCTCAGTATGTTGCCCAAGTTAGTCTTGAACTCCTGGGTTCAAGCGATCCTTCTGCCTCAGCCTCTCCAAGTACTAGGATTACAGACAACAGCCACGCTGTCCAGCAGAAGGATGTATCTTGGATCATAGCCTAATTGTTTTTCCAATATAACATAGTAAAACCTGTCATCTAACCAAGTCTTTTGAATTTAGCCATGTTCAATCTTAAATTTTTAAAATACTCTGAATATGTTTGTGCCACTTTTTGTTAAAACTTGTCTTTTGTGTAAATATTTAAAATAAAAACATTTTAAACTGAAAGTATGCTCAGAAATTTTCAACTGATTTTTTGAAAACCATGTCTTACTATGAGAACTTCTAATTACATATTCGAAAGTAACTCAAGTGCCTTTAAAAAAATATTTTACATCTACAAATTCAATTTTAATTCACCATTAAAAATTATTAAACTCAACATTGCTATAACCTTAAGGGTAGATCAATTTTTTATAATTCTGTAAATTGGTCAGATTTTATTAAGGCAGTGTAAATACAGTTGAGTTGTGTGAAAAGACACTGCCCAAGGATTTTTTTCTCATGGTTTTTATCATCAACTATCACCTTATTATCATTGTAACAATTCAGGCTTCTAAAAGAGCAACAATTAAACTTGATTAATTATGCCTAATTCCTTTTACTATGTTGTAAACTCCTGACAAATAATAAGAAGCAAGTCATTTAATCTGAGTTTGCTGCTTTCTTAGGTATTTCATTTTGTCATAGAACAGGTAGAATCTAGTTGTTAAACAGGCGCAGGTGGTTTCCATTAGGAGACAAGCCAGAAAAGGAGCCCCTGCCACTGGACTCTGGTAAAGACAGTGGTGTGTGGAAGGTTGCCTCTGCCTTAGGCTGGGTGCTGAGCTGGAAAGGGACTGATTGTAGCAGGAATGAAAGAATGGGATTCACATTATAATCAGTTCTGCTGAGCAGCTGAGCACTGTGAATAGTTATAATTTACTAGTTTGAATATTAAATTCTGTTTCAGATGAGCGGAAGAGTGAGTGAGTTGTTGGATGTTGATCCAGTAGAGATAACTTTTTGGTTCACAGATGATAGTGACATCATTCACAAGGCTGGATATGGGCCAATTATATATAATTTCACAGCTTTTATTTTTATAGTATAAAAGAGAAAACCCTTGAAAAGAGGCTTGCTGACCCATCTTCCTTTTCTTTAGGAGGAATCAGGTAAATGGTACAAAATGACATGCCCTTCATTCCGGTGGCCAGATATTTGGCTTTTAGAGCCCGGCAACTCTACCACACACCACTGTCTTTACCAGAGTCCAGTGGCAGGGGCTCCTTTTCTGGCTTGTCTCCTAATGGAAACAACCTGTGCCTGTTTAACAACTAGATTCTACCTGTTCTATGACAAAATGAAATACCTAAGAAAGGACACTACATTATTTTACTTCTGCTTATTATATCTTGCATATAAATTACTACTCTATAGATTTCATTTCCCCACATTTTTACCCTTGTTTCTTTGCTTCTCAGTGATACATGGCTGTCATAGAAAACATTACTCCCAGATCTTTGAGATACTTTGACTAGAATTCTTGCCTGAAGGGATCACATTAAATTACCCACCTCCTGGGTTTAAGCGATTCTCCTGCCTCAGCCTCCTGAGTAGCTGGGACTACAGGTGCCCGCCACCATGCCTGGCTAATTTTTGTATTTTTAGTAGAGACAGGGTTTCACCACGTTGGCCAGGCTGGTCTTGAACTCCTGACCTCAGGTGATCCACCTGCCTCGGCTTCCCAAAGTGCTGGGATTACAGGCATGAGCCACCATGCCCGGCCCACATGTTTTTAAATGATCACTCCTTAAAAAGCCTTTCTGACTACACTAATTGTTACCAAGCTTTCTCAGTGTGTGGTGATACGGCAGGTGAAATTTTTTAATGTAGTCATTACTATCTTGTTGGTTTCAAGTTTTGGCAAAAAATAGAACTCAACATATACTGGATTTCTATTCTTGTACACTGGATGAGATCTCAAGATTGAGATGTTGTCCTTGATTTTCCTACTCAAAATATTCAGTAATAGGTCAAAAAGACATCTTTATGTTTAGAAGTAAATACATAAAATTTAAATTGTTGCCTCTCTGACCAAGCAAGCGTCTGTGATTAAGTTGCTTACAACTTTACCTGTGTCTTCTTTTTACATGTGTCTTTTTATCATATCTTCTTTTAGGATGGATCAAACCTCACTGCAAGTCAGAGGGCCTATGCGCCTGAGCAGCTGCAGAAACAGGATAATCTAACTATTGACACCCAGTACTACCTGGCCCAGCAGATCCACCCAGTCGTGGCTCGGATCTGTGAACCAATAGACGGAATTGATGCTGTCCTCATTGCAACGTGGTTAGGTAAGTGTCCCAAGCTCACACAGAGCCTCATGTGGTAACAGCAGCACATACAGTCTTCCTTTTCCCTTGGGATCTCCATTTATGGGCATGGTATTGTGTCTGGCAATTCTTTGTTTCTAGTTTGGAACGTATTTTTGTGGTTGTTTGGTACTGTCTCCACTCATAGACTGTGAGCTTCACATACTTGGGACGGTAACCACATGCCTGCTCCATAGTTGGCACTCACTGCATACTGAGGGAAGAGAGGGAAGGCAACAGAAAGGGTGAAGTGAAGATTTCAGGTGCTTTTACAGTCATTGGGTTTATATTGTTAGAGGTTTAATTAGTATATCTCCATTAATAAGGAGATTGATGGTATCTTGCTTATTGGTTCATCTCGTCTCTGTTGCTGAAGGTATTTTCATGTCAAGTGAGAAAACGTGGCTTCTTAACATAAAATTTTAATAATTTTTCATATTCAGTTCATTGTGAGTATCCTACTCTCTAAGTTCTTCTAAAACTGGACCCGCTGTTATCCTCTAGGAATTGGCTAATTTCTAAATTCTCGTCATCGCAGGAGGTGCCAGACAACCCTGAGACCTCAGTATTTCTTTGACTTTTTGCTGTGTCACCAGACTGTCTCCATTGCTATGACATCATTACTATTGTCATCTTTTGTTTAGAAATATATTTCATAAGCAGTCCTGATTTCATTTTTAGATGACCAATACAAAAGAGTTGCATTGCTTTTAAGGTCTTTCCTGGCCGGGCACGGTGGCTCACGCCTATAATCCCAGCACTTTGGGAGGCCGAGGCAGGTGGATCACGAGGTCAAGAGATCGAGACCATCCTAGTCAACATGGTGAAACCTCGTCTCTGCTAAAAATACAAAAATTAGCTGGGCATGGTGGTGCATGCCTGTAGTCCCAGCTACTCAGGACGCTGAGGCAGGAGAATTGCTTGAACCTGGGAAGCCGAGGTTGTGGTGAGCTGAGATCCTGCCGTTGCACTCCAGCCTGGGTAACAAGAGCGAAACTCCATCTCAAAAAAAAAGGTCTTTCCCCTCTCTCCTGTGATAAGCAAAGATAAGTGTTTTCAGAGTACTGCCTAATGTCCTGAGATGGCTCTTCACTGTTTATAAGTCAAGCCCAGGTGCCACTGGCATCTCACAGACTAATTTTGGCAATTACAGACTAACTTTCCAGCTCCCACCTATGTATCCAGTCTTATTCAGTCTATGCAGTGTTTCCCAAATATGGCACTGCCCATTCTGTTCCCGCTTCATGGAGAATTCTCCCCCTCTTTTTACTAAAACACCTAGCTTTAGCTATGGGCTTTGGCAGCATAGTGACCTGGGTTTCAATGCTGGTTCTGCTATTGACAAGCTTCTGAACCTTGGTCTACACCTTAGCTTCTTGAGTCATAGAGTTACCTTGAGGGAGAAATAAGATGATGTGTGTGAGATGTTACACTCAAGGCCTGGGGCAAAGGAAATGCTCTGTGAGTGGTAGCCACCTCCCACCTTTCTTTTAGGCTTCAGTGGAAATATGTTCCTACTCCTTCAGTCTGTAGGATTTGCTATACTTAGTGTTCAACTGCATTTGTAGAATGAGATTGGGTTTTCCATGGATGAATTATCAAGTCACATATTTTCCGTCCTGCCAGTGTTGAGTATGTTTCAGAGCTCCTCGCTGCTACCCCCATCGTCACTACCCGATCAGTGTTTACTCTGGAAGTGGAAGCTCATTTTTAACATTTGCCTAAGCAAATATTATTAGGAAGATAAAATTCTACCACCAAAATAATCATATAATGTATTCTGCAAGATGAGTTGTATTTAATGATGTTTATAAATCCTCAGCTGGGAAGAGAGGACTGTAAAAGCAAGGTGTTTTTTAGCTTCATTTTTTTCTCTACTATACATTGAGTATTTACTCTGTTGGATACAGTGATAAGTACTTTGCATTTGTTATCTCGTTCAGTCCTTGTGACAACCTCACAAAGGTATGTCGTATTAGCTCCATTTTACAGAGGAAGAAGCTAGGTTTAGAGAGGTAATGATCTTGGTCTTGGCACATAGGTAGTAGATAGCAGGCTGTGATTTCAAAGGTTGTGATCCTAACCACTGTGCTAACCTTGATTGCCTGTTCTTAGCTCTGAAAGGCTATGAAAGATGTTTTCAATCAGGAGTGGGGTAGCTTGGATCTGCAAACACGGGGAGCTTCATGTTTTTCTTGCTCCCTCCATTTCCCACTGTACACCCCATGCTCTCCACTGAAAACCTCTGAGTTTAAAAAGAAAAAAAACAAAAACAAAAACCTAGTGTAGGTTGGGTGTGGTGGCTCATACCTGTAATCCCGGCACTTTGGGAGGCCCAAGCAGGTGGATCACGAGGTCAGGAATTCGAGACCAGCCTGACCAACATGTTGAAACTCTGGCTCTATTAAAAGTAAAAAAAATTAGCCAGATGTGATGGTGTGTGCCTGTAATCCCAGCTACTTGGGAGGCTGAGGNAAAAAAAAAAAAATTAGCTAGGAGTAGTGGCGTGTAATTTCAGGTACTCAGGAGTCTGAGGCAGAAGAATCGCTTAAATCCGGGAGGCAGAGGTTGCAGTGAGCTGAGATTGCGCCTCTGCACTCCAGTGGGGGACAGAGTGAGACTCCATCTCAAAAACAAAACAAAACAAAAAACAACCTGGTGTAAAACTGTTGCCCTTTTCTTCTTTGGTTTTGAATTTTTCATTGACCCAGCACTGAGAGGAGATAGATGGAACAAGCCTTGTCTCATGAATGACATTTAAGAGAAGGATGTGCAGAGCCTTGTATGTCAGCAGAAGAGCTGAGTGGTAAAGGGTGATGGAGCCTGCATGGATGGATTGGCTGGATGCCTGCCTAGATGTGTAAAGGCCAGTCATACTGAGAGGGGACCAGACTGATTTTGTTAGTTCCAGAAGTCATAGTTAAGATAATTTTTTTAAATAAATTGAACAGTGGCAGATTTTGACTTGAAAGATACTTTATTATGACTGCAGCTGCTGTATGGCCATAGGCTGCCTTATGAATTCAGTTTTCACAAATTATTTTCAAAGCCAGTAGTAGATGAGTGGGTCCCATCGTCAGAAGTTTCATGTTATATCTCATTGACCAATCTCAGTCTACACAGAGGAACCTCCAGACTTGCACATGGTCCCACCATGTACCCATCACTCCTGCCCCATAACTTGAAAATTCTCTAGGTGCAGCCGTGGCTGTGTGGACACCCTTCCGGGCAGTCCCTTCTTGGTGCCATGTGGCCAAGTCAAGCTGATGGGAGGTGGCGACGTGTCCTCGGCCTTGGGGGATCTGCCACTGCTTCTCACTTTGGGCTGCTTTTTCTCATTTTTTTTCTTCTGCCACTTGACAATGGTTTTTATATCAAGGATGTGTGAAGTTGTCATCATTGTGTAGTCCTCCTCCTCTCCTGCTTGTCCTCTTTCATCCTGTGCTGTGCCCATACCAGCAGTATATACGTAGCCATCTGTATTAGTAACAAACCTTGTAGTACTTTCCTTCTGCCCCTTTCCACATAGGAGTTTCAGCATTCATGAAGTATAGGCCCAGAAGTCCCCGTCATCATGAAGATCTGTAGAAAACATTGAAGCTCACAAGGCAGATCTCTGCAGGCATTTGCCTCCTGCTGTATTCAGGAGCTGAATTTCGTATCTGCACCCTTTATGCCTCCTCCCCAAGTAAAAAATTGGAGTGGCTATTCACGAGGGGCTTCCAGGCCCTGTTAGCAGCTCTACTGTAGCCTGCGGTTTTAGGAGGAGGGAGGGAGGGAGATGGGGAGGTGGTAGCAAAGTAAGAGAAGTGTTAGGGTGTACATGATTTCTAAGAGGTGCAAGCTGTAGGCATAAAATTACTGTAATTTGTTTTTAAAATTCTAAATCTGTTTTCTTTATATAAAAAAACTGCAGCTAGTGAACTGACACTGTTAAATAAGTTGAAGTGTACAAATGTATACATAAAATATAAGCCCGCCAACTGCCTAATCACAGACATAAAATAATTCTCTTGCTTTTAATGTAGTTTTTATCTTTGATTAATGAAATGCATTACAGTATTGAAACTTTAGTGAAGTTTGATACTTTGTCCTTTTAGTTAGTACAAAGAAATCAGGAATAATGGCATAATTTCATTTAGGAAAATTATTAAGTTCATGATTTTTTATTTTTAAGACTCTTGTGGAGAGCAACTATATTTTTCAACTACTTTTTTCTCTCTCTATTGCTTTTATACTACTTTACTTGAAAGGCAAGCATCAAGTGTTGGTTTGTCCTGTGGCTTCACTTTGGAAATTTGCTCTTTCTCCCCATCAAGTTACCTCCTAAAGTCTGTCTGGTGGCATGTTGCATGGCCAGGTGTTCCATATGGAAAGACCATTTTAGTGAAAAGGAGAGAGGATAGTCTATTAAATGAGCGAATGAATAAGGCTGTTGAATTGAAAGAGAATAATTTGTTCTAATGACTAATGGTCCTCATTATCCCACAGTAAAATATGTATCATTTTTCTGAAACCCATGCAAGATTATTGCTATTGGGCTTAAATAAAGCAAAATTTTACTCTTTTCTATCTGTGAATAGGAAAAAATACAATATTACTCTTTTTATACAATAGCCCTATGGGAAACATGGCCACTAAAACTTGAAACTCTTAGCTTTTGTTCTCTATAGATTTTTCTCTCTTTCTCATTCTAATGAAAGCTCTTCCGTATTCTGTAAATGAAATATTCATAGTATGCTCAAACATCCAAATAGTCTTCTCTATAGCTAGCAGACTAGGCCAGTGACGAGAATAAAGTTCATTCTTGAATTTCACCTGTTAATAAATTTATGTTTTATGTATAACGGTACTTAGAATTACATGTAACATCTTTCCTCCAATGAGCAATGATTTGCATAGTAGTTAAAAAGAGCCTTTCTTCATGGTCGGTGATAACATTTCAGGCATTTGGCTATCTGGGCAGTTTTCTCATTGGTCCT